AAACTGATAGCATACATACATATGAAACTGATAGTGGAGTAGACAGCTGTTCTACTAATAACCCCTTATTTTATATATAACCCCATACTAAATATCTTTATGCTTTAAAAATATCAGTTGCTACTATTTGACAAGTAAAGTGTTGGAGGGTGTTTGTTTCCCTGTGCCTAGACCCAATGAAATGCCATGAACTAGATAATGCCTGTTCTACCACCACTGCATATCTTGCTTAGGATTAGCTAAGACGTCTGGTGGATCTAGTGGGAATGCTGTTTAGTGAATGTGTGAGTGAGATGTGGCACGAGCACACAGGCAAGTAGACTTCATTTATTTTGTAGCCCAAATTTGATGTCCTCTTAGAATGATGTGTTTGCACCGTGTACAGTTTTGGAGGCTCTTTGTCTTCAAAACTGGGAAGTATTTGTCTTCAAATGCTAAGAAGAACCATTGCCAAATTCTAGAAAAGAATAGCAGAGGAAACAATGTGATTTTCAAGACTTCATGTCAAGATGACTTTGTCTGCTCTGGTGAGACCCCACTTGCATCCACTGAGATGGTTTGTCAAGGAAATTGCAGCAGCCGGAGGGAAAAGCAACAGGCTGGTGCAGTTCTTCAGGAGTAGAGTTAGGTGCTGTAATTAGCAGAAGGATTTTGATTCATCTGATTAAAAACTGGGATTGAAATGTTTGTATTCACATAAACTGAGCTGTACGGACAAAATGTGGGATTTCAGAAGGATTACAAGAACACAGTGTAAAAACATACAGAATGGGATGTGGTCATCAAAAAAGAGAATTGCATGTTAATTTATGAGGCAGGTTAAAATAAGCAGCAATAGTTGTAGCTATATGTTGTTTGCACTTCATAATCAGGGGTTGATGGTTAGAATAATGCTATTAATCTGGAAGGTATTGTAGGGTTGGGTTTGGTTACTAAAGGGGATCTTTTTAAAGCATTTTGTGTTTTGATATTTTGTGCATGGTTAAAGCTTTAAGTACTCCCAGGAGTTGTGACCATACGGGTGGGCAGCCCCACATATGGAAGTGTTTAACTTCTTCAGTAGAGCTTGGAGAACAAATGCTAATAATGCTGCTTATTTCTGCTGGTAAGAGCTGCCATTTTTTCACTTCATCGATAAGAGACCGATTTTAAGGTTTCATTTAAGTCATGGTTAAAGAACTTCTGATATGTGATTCAGATAGTATTAAATGACAGGAGTAAAACAAATAGGTATGTAACTGAGGATTTCAAAGTTTGAGACTCTACAGGTGTGAATGATTAAACCACTCTACCGCAGAAGCTCAGAAACTCAAATGTGGAGGAGGTCTGGAACTTTCTTACTCAAAAGGTAGCAAATGAATTAATATCCAGAACAAAGAAGGGAACATTATAGTGAAAAACCTAACTGGAGGAAAGGCCACGTTGTTAAAAATAAATGAGGAGAATGAAAAGAAATTGCAGAAAGGACTGACAGGCCAAGAAATCTATGCAAAAGAGGTAAAGAAGCACAGGACTAAGGTGAACTGGACAAAAGTCAAGCAGAGTTAGACCTGGCACTGGATATTAAACATTATAAAATTACCCAGCCTTAAGCAAGCAGTTTCAGAAACAAACCACGAAGAAGAATATGGGGTCACTGCTTAGAGATTAAATATGTGACCCTAAATAGAAGAAAATCCTTAATTCTCTCGTCAGGAAATGCTGCTGCTGACTGTGGTGGGAAATGGAGGTTACCTCATAGGAATGAGTGCACAGGCTTTAAAATCAAGATCATTGCAACTGGTACACAAGTAAAACAGAAGCAATTAGTGAAGGATGGCAATCAAGTTTCATGACCAGAAGGAGACAAGCTCGTGAGAGAGATTTTGAAGGACACACTTGAGTCTACAAAGGTTTTCCCATAAGAATGAAGTCCCCTAGAGGAATGTCAAGTTTGGTCCTGGAAGGCAAGTGCTTTATACCTCTTCTTAGCACTAAGCATCAATTAAGATGTAATTTGCAACTTAAACTGATTTTCAAATTGTGTTTAAGCCATGGTGCTGCAAATGAGGTGAGAAATCACAACAGGCCTTTCCCAGTAGGTTCCTTCATAAAGGAGTTTCCTTCTTGACCACCAGAACCAACCAGCAGCCTGACAAAAAAGCATTCCAGTAACACCTTTTCTGTACTACATCTACAGGGACTGCAAGAAAAATAGGTTCAACCCAGAAATCAAGGGTAAGTCACTTACATTACGTATCCTCTGATCTTCCCCACCCTTTGGGATTTTTGTTGGACTGAGGTTTGAGCAGTTCTTTCCAGAACTGAGATGAGGAGGTGGTGGGCAGTTTTACAACATAGACCATCTTAGTATTAAATTAGTGCTTAGAGTGCTTATACTGTTCCAGGTAGTGCTGGAAGAGGGTTGTGCAATGAATAATAAATTTAGGCAATGCTGATAAAATTAAAGTAAAACCTGGCTTTAGAAGTTGCTCAGAGGAGCTTGTTTCATCTTGAAGTTTTCCCAGTATTAAATAGGAAATCACTGGGAATGCCTAACGTCTTTCATAAGAATGTAGTTCAGATATACTCCTTAAACAGGCTCATATCATTAGAGGGGCAATTGTGTCATCTCTGGTAGAATTACTCCATACCATTGGTATTTCTTGGCAGACTTGACGTTTTCATGTGGTCTTACTGCCTAAGCATTCTTCCATAGCAAGCTTCTCTCCCAGCAAAGAGCAAGCTCTCAGCTCTGATCTTTTAGGTCTGCAAAGTAATCCATGTTATTTTGCCAACGGGTTCTGGAATAGAGCAGTGGAAAGCTGCTGGTGCAGTGGTATAGCCTTTCTGAGAGGGCTGGATTGTTTGCAGCTAGGCAAAAATGCTGCTAAATCAAACTTTCTCTCATAATTCCAGGCAAAAGGCATGGCTGGCTGCTGAGTAAAATGTGCTAGAATGTACTGTGTAATGACTGAGTAGACTGGCGCTGTTAGCAGTGAGCATTCAGACCCCGTAGTAAACACCTGGCAGAACCAGGGAACCGTGGTCATTCATATTTAGTGAGGGAATGGTGGGCTCAGCATGCACAGATATGTTTAAAGCAGCAGTGAAAATGTTTACCTGGAGTCAGTTTGTCTTCTTTTGGAAGTGTAAAAAGCTTGGATTTCCCATTTACCAGGATAAGCAGTAGTAATGTGAGTAACGAGTTTAAGAACCCCACTTGCAGCACTGTGTGCAGTGCTGGTGTCCTCAACATAAGAAGGACATGGAGCTGTTGGAGCAAGTCCAGAGGAGCCACAGGGATGATCAGGGGCTGGAGCAGCAACACTGGGGCTGTTCAGCCTGGAGAAGAGAAGCTGTGTGGAGACCTCAGAGCAGCTTCCAGTGTCTGAAGGGGGCTCCAAGGATGCTGGAGAAGGACTCTTCATCAGGGACTGTAGCGAGAGGACAAGGGGTGATGGGTTCACACTGAAACAGGGGAAGTTCAGGTTAGATCTAAGGCAGAAGGTGTTAACTTTATTCTTTACTTTTTCACTTCTAATATGTATTTTTTCATACCTTTAAGAAAAGCTTGGCTATCAGTTTAAAGTATGTTCATGATAACAGGCAGGCAAGGGCTGGGTGAGCTCTTCTTTTATTCTTATGTGCAGTATCTGGGGTATTCAAAGGGGTCCTTAGTGATCCCTTCCTCTAAGAAGCTCAAATAATTCTTGGTATTTTATTAATCTGTCAGAGCAGGGGTTGCTTCTGAATTTATCTTGGTATTTCTGTCTGAAACAGCTGTGCAGCCTATGCTTCAAATTGCCAGCATTAAATCAACATAGTTTTCCTCCTCATTCTTCATCAATTTGTCATCTAGATAAGCCCACTACCTGCACTAGCAATCTTCCATTATTCGCTGTTCTTGCTGGTTTCTTCCATATACTTCCATCAACACCCACAAAGGCTTTTTACTCTCATATATCCTGTCTTTTTCTCTTTAGGTTTTTTAACGCCACTGCTTAAGACGATGCCTGCAGATAGCTAATGACTCTAAAAATTGAGCATGTCATAATGACTTATTTTGCCAGTGATGTACCTGGGTAGTTTGGACTTTAATCTCTTGAGATCACACAAAGGAAATAAGAGAGTTGTAAGTCAGACATAAAGAAAAAAATCTCCAAAACCACACAAGAGCAAAAGGCATCTTGATTACTTCTGTTATTTATGGCAACTTTAGCATCATATTTCTTTTCTAATTACTGAAATTGCATACAGAGAGACACATAAATGAATATACCGTCTCCTGCATTATGCACTGTGCAGTGTCCTTCATGATCAGATTTTTACCCCATGAAATTTACTCAGTCAGATTATTCTGCTTTTTTAATAGATTTGCTTGTTCTTAAATGTGCTTCTGTGACATGTGTATGTGTAACCTCCATAACTGAGATGTTCTCATTTGCATTGTAAAAGAGCAAAGCATTTCTAATGCCAGTATTATAATGAATACTGTATTTAAAAGATCATGCCTCATTTTTCTACGCGCTGTATTGGCAGCAGAGTGCTATAGTCTGTCCTGATATTTCACTGTATAAATTAGACAGCTAAGGAAGGAAGAAGAAAAACAGCAGATAGAGATTAAGTGACCTGTTCCAGATCACAACGCACAACTTTGACAGCAGGAGAAGCAAATTCCCAGACCAACCTCCTACATTTGGAGTCATCAGAAATGGAATCCTCATTTTTAGGGGAAAAAAAAGGCGAGAGGTTTGGAATTGGCTTGAATTTTATTTCAATCCTTTTTGTGCTTCTCTACAGCAATAGTTTTAACAGTGGCTGCTTTTCAGAAACTGCTGTTCCCAGTTGTCATTTCAGTCGTATTTGTCTAAAATGGAAACAAAATGAAACCCCCAGTTTTTACATAGGAAGAAAGACATTTCATGGACTTGCTGCTTTTCCTCCATTAGAGCACAAGCACAAGTTGAAAAGGGGCATATGTTTTTCAGTGTGTAACCTCCATGTGTGGGCATGTTGGATACTAAAAAAAGACCCGCTAGACTTCTTTGCAAGGAGTAGATTTATTTGCAAAGGGAAAGATTAGCAAAATCACCAAAACACCTGAAGACCAAATAAATCAGAACTAAAACAAATGGGGGAGTCCTCTAGAAATACCTGTAATCGTGCAAGGTGTTTGCAAATAAATGCTTTAGAAGAGATGTTTCTTCTTTCAAATCAGACACAAGCTGCTGATTCCCTCTGCTTCCCTATTGCTTCTTGCGGGTGCCCCAGGCTTTTTCCTCTAGTGCAGCTGTGCTCCACTGAAATAAATGGCACTTCCTGGGGACTGCATCTTTAGTTACTGGTACAGAAGTCATCATAATGTGCACCGAGATATTTCAATAATGCTTTCAAATGGCTCTTAAAACACAACACTGCATAATAAAACCACAACTGCATGGTTGCAGATAGAGCTACCAGTGACACAGCTACCTACATATTATTCCCTTCAAAGAGCAACTACTAGAGAAACTGTAGGGGAGCAAGGAAAGGCATAAAATCCCTCAGACACTCACTGCTGTCTGTTTTTTCTTCCCAGGTCCTTCCCAGTTTTCTGGTTTGGTTTGCAATCTCCAAAGTACTGAGTTTTCATCACTCATTTATTGCCTTGCATCCCAGGGAATAATAATAAGTGTGACATCTGGAAAAGCAGATTCAAGGTAAGCAGATGTCTTCAAGAAGATGCCAGTTATTTCGCAGAGAATCATGGAATGGTTTGGATTGGAAAGGACCTTAACATCATTCGGTTCCAATCCCCTGCAATGGGCAGGGACACCTTACACTAAAGCAGGTTGCTGTTCTGCAGCATCGAAATCTAGAGGATAAAGTAAACAGCGTTGAAGAATTGTAGCAAGTAATCCACTTCTCTTCCTGAGTATCCACCAGTAAATACCAAAAATGAAACACATGTAAGTTAGTTGGTTCTAAGTGCTCTAGTGTGGGGTGTCCCTGCCTGTAGCAGGGGGTTGGAACTGGATGAGCATTAAGGTCCCTTCCAACCCAAACCAGTCTGGGATTGTGTGATTCTGTGACATGGTGGATTTATCTGGCAAGAGCTTTGGAGCTCTCAAGGCTCTTGACCTCAAAAGTGTTTCAGGATTCCTCGCCTAACCCAAAATACTCGTGTGTCTAGGGAAGGACCCCTGTGTATCAAGGCAACAAGATTTCCAGTAAGGAGCTATGCACACCTCTTGGGTCAAGTAAATAGGGACTTAAAGTACTGCTGGGTGCTTGGAGACTGAGCCCTGCAGCAGCTAACAGCATCTAGCCCTGTGCTTTGCTTTTGTTTTCAGATATTTGTGGGTTTGGGTTTGGTCATTAGCTTATTCTGCCCTTAAATACGGTTTGCAGCTTGTCACTTTTCTCATTTGAGGACCTGTGTGTCATCCTGGACCCATGAAGTTGTACCTCTAATATGAAGAGTATTTCAAGTGGACCCTGTATACTCTTAAAAAGTTAGAATTCAAGATCTAAAGAGAAGAAGTTCAGGTTAGATCTAAGGCAGAAGCTCTTCCCTGTGAGGGTGCTGAGGCGCTGGCACAGGGTACCCAGAGAAGCTGTGGCTGCCCCATCCCTGGCAGTGTTCAAGGCCAGGCTGGACACAGGGGCTTGGAGCATCCTGCCCTAGTGGAACCCCCATGGCAGGGGGTTGGAACTGGATGAGCTTTAAGGTCCCTTGCAACCCAAACCAGGCTGGGATTCTAGGATACTATGATCTTTCCAGTGACAGCCATGACTGCCTTGTTTAATGTCAGGCTTCTAGAAGATCCTTTCCTAGCCTGTTTGGCCATCTGTCCCTTAAAGAGAAAAGGAGACACAGGTCTTACGTTTGAGTTACACAGTCTCCAGCTGGAAATATTGCCTATTATATTCTTCATTGCATTTTTTTACAGAGTATGTGGCACCTGCTCGAGTATACCAACACCATGTATTTGTATTGTTTTGTTTGTATAGTGCCTGACATTTGCCCAGTAATGGATAATCAAATCTTTCTGAAATCTCTTATTTTTGCAATACAGTTTCAATCTCATTTTGTATTTTGTACTATTTCTTTTTCCATAAGAACTGTTGAAACTCATAGTAAGCACTTTGACACTGTAGTTTGTCAGGCAGTTTAGTTGGGAACAAGTATGGTTATCTTGAAGATATTTCCACCATGGTATTTGTGAAAACAAAGGCTTTGTCTCTGCACTAGTTGAGAAAATCAGTGATTGAAATCTGAGCCGTATGCTGCTTTGATAGAAAGTATATTCTGGGTTTGTTTTCTGCTTGGGGAGGAATCGGCTTTCAGCTCGAGCGGTCATGTATTCTCCATCTGTATTTTGTTTCTGGGAGGTTGTTCTACAAGCCTGCAGAGTAGTGTTACAAGATAAAAATCTCCTGAACACATCCTAAATACCTTTATGTGTATAGATACGTAGATATGCCAGATTAGAATATTCATAATTCAAAGGATTTTGATTTCCTTCTACTTTGGAGAGGATTTTGGAGTGTCAGGAAGAGAAAGTCTGTGTTTAAATTCATCTGATTCTTTGAATTAGTGTAAGGAAATTCTCCTCATAAATATGTCTAGGAAAAATAGTCTCCTTTGAGTCTTCAGTAGCTTAAAGGCATCACTTAATGTCATCCCTTTATATATATATATATATATATATATGAGTGTGGTTTGAATTCAAAGACTGAAGATTAACATGGTTGGGACACTTAAAAGCTGATGGGAAAGGGACAGTGGACAGTTATTAAAATTCAGGATAATTGAGACTAGAGGTGCAAGCAACTGCTCTTAATATTGGCAGCTAATTACTGTGCCTAATTGTCCTGTAATGATTTGTGTCCTATAGAAAAGATGTGATTTTGCAGATGAAGCTTCCTATGGAGCTATCAAATTCCTATCGTTCCCATTCCTGAAATAATCAAATGACACCTTCTTATATTTAGCTAGAGAGACCAAAGTGCTTTTCACATACAGTGCTGCGCTTAGCACAAAAACAAATGCTAATGTGACTATCGGTACAGGACCAAACTTTATCTGAGATCTGGGGTGTTGCCATGGCAATTCCAATTGTTGGGGGAAAAAAAAAATCCCTTTTGTGCTTCAGTCTGACATTATATTGCAAAATGATGATTAGGAAGAAACATGCAACCTAAAAGGGGGAAAAAGATCATCTCTTTTTGAAGGTGTAAAACACACTTTCTACCCCATTTACCTCTTGTGGGAACCCTGAGTGTGTGCCCAGATTGTTGCCAGCTGTATTTTTTGCAGATGCATTTTTAGTTCTCAAATTGCCATAATAGCACTGAATGTTATTTCTCCTAACTGTAATAATCAACATAATAAGGATCTTGGAGACATAGATCCCATTTCCTATGCAAAATAGCAATTTCTAGTATCCTATACTGTGACCTGGAGCTCCTGCGTTTAACAATACTGCCTATGTTAGTTGAAGCATAGCTAAAATACATAACTTGCCTATGTTATTTATATAGATCAACTGTATGATCTATGTATAATGTAATCAGAATAGCTCATAATAGGCAATGGATCAGTCATTTCTGTTTCTAGTTAAAAAGTTGTTTTCTACCAATACATCTCACAGGGAGAAAATTGATGTGGCTATTACCTATTCCTTGCTAAATCAATGTACTGCAAGCTTTAAGTAAAAAAACCCGCATAGTACTCAAAAAAAAAAAAGGGAAAAGAATGAGGGGGTAAAGTTAACAAAAGGCTACAATTCCCACTGAAGTTTATTGTGCATTCTTTCCTGTAGGAAATGCATCAAATGGGAAACATTTCCAGAAGAGAACTAATGCTTGCAGTGCTGCATTGCTGCTTTATAAATAAATCATTGTCCTTTCCCTATTGATCACAGGAACAATCCAGTGGAAGAATGCTGACTTAGTGTAGCCCTGCTCAGGAGTGCTGGATTGAGGGAAAAAGCTGGGTAAGTGGGACCCAGCAGCAGGGAGTAGGGAAAACCCCATGCTGGTTAGAGATCAGGGTTGGTGCATCAAATCCAGCCCTTCATTTCTTTCTTACCTCCAAATAAGCTTATTTTGATGTCATTAATCAGGGAGAATATAAGACAATACCAGTTGTAATTACTAGATGCTGAAGACCTGTGCAGAATGTGTTGTGAAATTTTTGTAGCACATGCTCAAAAAGACCTATTCTGAATGAAATTCAGTCTTTTAATGATCCTAATTGTGGAATTTATTTGTCAAGAAATAAGGCTCGAGTCTTCCAGGAATAAGTTTGAATGAGTAGATTCTTGGAAATAGTACTGCACTTCTGTGATTTGGGCTGGAATCTGGATTGTATTTGGTTACCTCAAAGGTCATGGCTTGCAAGTCTGACAGTTTGGAATGTCGGCTTTGTCAGGATTGCTGGTATTGAGCCACAGGGCTTTTCTGGGAAGAGAAGGAACCTGTTTTGTGAGGAGTGGAGAAATACTGTCTGGTTTGCATGTCTGGACATTATGATCAGTGTTGGATCTCAGAGGCATATACGTTCTAAAACATGGCTTTCACTGGAGCCTGTGCTAGGTGTCTGTATCAGGACTGTACATTCACAATGCTGTCATCCAGAACTTCCACCTAGTTCCAGAATACAAACTTCTTCTTTTTCATATAATATGATTTCCTGGTAGAGGGCTCAGCCGATGGCAGGTCATTCAGGGCCACGGTGATGCAGAGCTTTTAGGGCATGTTGTCATCACATCAGGATTTTTCTGTTTCCCGTTAATTATGAATGCTTTCAGGATGCAGGCCTGTAAGATGTAATTATTTATTCCCCGGGGAGTTTTGTCTCTAGTGTCGCATTCAGAGGCAGCACAAGCTCCCTATATTCTCACCCAGCGCTGTTAGCTGTCTGATAGGAAGCAAAGTATTAGCCAGCTTTCTGGAATACAAGAGAGCACAACAGCTCCATGTGAAGGACTGTGGACCTGAATGCGTAAACTGATCTAAATCACTTCAGTAGTGTGCAGGGTTGCTGTTCCCTGTTTGCTGATGGCGAGGTGAGGCTGTGGACCCATCAGCATTGCGCACAGTCGACAGCAAAACATCCCTCAACTTAAACTATAAATCTGGACCAAAAGCACTACAGGGAACAAATCTAGAGGCAAAGAAAGGATTAAAAGTAGCGCTGTTGCTAACATAGCAGAAAGCACCCCTGGCACAGACTATTGGACTGGCAGCGGATGGGCTTTCCCTTTCTTCTCCCAGTGTCCGTGTATCATTCCGTTCATGCCTTCTGCTCGTGTTCTGAAATGCTCGTCATTAACATGGACATCATGAATCGTGTTTTGTTATGTGGGATAATGCAATCTGTTAAACAGACAACCAACAAACCCGGTGGTTATTACTTCTCCCTTGGACCATCTTCCTCCCAGCTAAGGCAGAGTCTGGCCGCTGACCACTAGATGACACTGTTGTATAAGGCCATGTTCGGCATGGCTTAGACAATAACTAATTTACTTAGAGAACATGTATGTGTATAATTAGGAGTCATCAATGTCTTTCTTTTAAAATAAAATAAGTTTACCATATCTAATTAGATATTTCTTATAAGATGGATTTCACTCTAATTGGGTAAAGCTATGCTACTGGTTTGAAATATAGCAAAGGATATACTTGTATTCACTTTCACTGTTTCCATATTTTTTTCCTGGTCCTTGCAATAAACTGATCTGATTACACCTTTTAAATCGATGTTCTCTCAAACTCTCAACTCAAACTCTCAAACATGATGACAGAAATGATCTGTCGTCAGGAGTTCTACTGCCCTTGTTTTCAGCACATGAGGTTTGTTAGTGATAGCTCTCTTAATCTCAGTCTCTTTCACCATCCTCCCAGACTGTGGTCTGGAATCTGCATGTTCTTCCCATCCAAACTGAAATGATCTATTTAAAGAGCCAACAACTGCCAGCACTCACCACTCTAGCTTGACCATGACAGTGCAGGCTTTCCAGCGGCAGTGAGCTCAGCAATCCCCAGCTGATGAAGAACAGCTCCAAGGTGTCTGGTGTGTGTGCCTTTAAAAGCTCAGGTTTCCTATAGTGAGTGTTGCCAGTGGAGGATCCAGCTTCTGCACATGTCAGACTAAATCCAGTTTACATAAAAATTGAATTCGGTGCTTTTTGGTAGGGAAAATTAATGTCTTCAAGCTTCTGTGTGACTTCAGGAGGCACTGGCTAGCCAGTGCCACACCCAGCACAGACAAGGGTTACACCCCTTCCCAAAGGAATTTCATAGAATCCTGGAATCCCAGGTTGGAAGGGGCCTCAAGCATCATCTGGTCCAACCTTTCTAGGAAAAGCATGACCCAGCCTAGATGTGCAGCATCCTGTCCAGCCAAATCTTAAGTGTCCAGCGTGGGTGAATCCTCCACTTCCCTGGGGAGATCATTCCAGTGGCTGATTGTTCTCATTGGGAAATGTTTTCCTCCAGTGTCCAACCAGAATCTCCCCAGGATAACTTGTGCCGATCACCCCTCATCTTTTCCATGTGACTCCCTGTAAAAAGGGAGTCTCCATCTTCTTTGTAGCCCCCCTTTAAATACTGGAACACTGTGATAAGGTCTCCCCTGAGCCTTCTTTTCTCTGGTGATGCCAGGCTGGGGCACCCACCACTTTAACATTGTGCGTGTTCCCATCACTCTATTTCGCCAGCTGACATAGGAGGCCCTCACAACTCTGTTTCCCAGTGATGACCAGAACTTGTCTATCACTTCTTGATGGCATCTTTTAAATGGATTTAAATTTTCTTCTGAAAAAGTCATTTTAGAATAATATTCAAACCATGGTTTATGACTACATTATACCTCAGAAATAGCTTGTCTGACTATCCCAGTGGTGCAGGGCTTTCTCTGCTATCCCTATATCTCATATACAAAATGATGGGCTATTATACAAAAGTCATATCTCTGTCTTATTTATTGAAGTGCTGGTTCACTAAATAAAGGTTCTCAACAATGATTTGAGCTGGTTGAAAACCTGCTTGAAAATTCTATATTTCAGGAAAAGCTTTTCCACGAGCTCTGTTTCTGAAGCTAAAGTACTTCAATTCCCAATGACCAAACCCATTAAAATACAAATTAGCCTAAAGAAACAGATGAATTACAATGGTGTATTTGCATATCATATTTTGGTGTGAATATAACAGTGTCTTCATGTAGACTAACAGCTCCTGCAATCTTCACAGCCCCATAGTTGAGTAAATGACTGTGGGGCAAATGAGGAAGCAAAGAAGACAAAGATGAATATTATTTATACTGAATAGGAGAGAATAGTTCAGGATTTTGTGGTTTGAATTGAAAGCTGTGTTAAACCAATTTCCTTCACCAAGGGAGGAATCAATCCTCCCTTAGCTAATCGCTTAACATAGGAGGTATATGCATGTCTCCGTATTCTACTAATAGAAGGGGATTTAAGGGGATGGCATGTTTTGATTGTCTTTTCAGAACTGTAGATAATCTGTGATTATTGCAACAAGGGTGAATGTGATATAAGAAAGAAAGGTGGAGAGTGATCAGGCTGGATGGAATCAGAATGCCTTATCTCAAGGGAATGAAATGATCCACCTGAGGAAAGACCTTTGCATTCCCGAAAGGCAGCACCAGAGATTTCTCATAAAGTTTGACCTGTTGTTCTGTAAGTAATATAGCAGAGCCTCCACTACAGAGTATCTTGTCAATTCCTTTTAATAAATGAAGCTGAACTGATGCAGCAGCCTGTGTACTTTCTCTGATCTGTACCAATTCTCTGCTCTCTGCCTTCATGTGTGTTTCCGTGAATTCCTGATGCACTTGGCCACTGAGTTTGCTGTGACTTCAAAGCCAAACCTTTCCCTTTGCCTTGTATAAAACATGCCCAGAAGCTGGGTACTGAAGAAAATAAGTTGGGAGAAGAATATTGATTTTAGATGTTAGGGTAATCTAAGAAAAATGGTTCAAAAACAGACGAAGGGGGAGGAGTGAAGGCCCTTTCTTCTCTATTTTGGATTTTTTAGCTTTCTTATTTATTGCCAATATTTTCCAGCAAATTCTTTTGTAGAAAAGTAACTGGCTCTATATAAATGCAAACACTAACTGGGAATGATGCAGTTGTAACTTCTAGAAGGTGCTGTGGTATTGGAGGGTATAATCTTAAGAAGATGCTGTTCTGTATCCCTTCAGCTCCCCAGGGGAAATGATGAAGAACAAATAGGTTGCTTTTCAAGAATTGATGGACATCAGGCTCACCAGTGGCTTTTTGGCATCATAGTGCACAAACTTGATTAGCTGTAATGTGATTGTCTTTGTTAGCTTTTGTGATGCAACTCAGTGTGTGTTGACAAAGTAACAGTAGGGAGATGGTTGAAAGAGCCAAGTAGTCCCAGATTTATGCCCTTTTGAAAAGTGACTAAGACATTTTGAATCGTATAGGTCAATAGACCTTTATACTTCTAAATCACCTCGAATATCTTTGAAAATGTGACCTTTAATCCAGTCCCATCTTTCCAAACAGCTTCAGGGGTCATCCTAGAATTTCCAGAGAAATTTGGAGGAAAATCAAATGAGGAGTGCTGAATTCAGCTTCAAACGGAGAAAGAATAAATCACAAGATGTGAAGAAAAGAAAGTTCTGGGACTAAAGCTTTTCCAAACAATGGGATTTTTACTGTATTATCATATCCCATGAGTTCTTCATTCACATGGGACCTTGAAGCATATCAGCAATCTAACTAAGTGTGACTATTGCTACTCTTTAGGAAAATGTTTCAATAACTCATTGACCGGCAACTGTTTAAACTTATTGTCTCCTCCTTTCCCTTGATTGTGTAAATCTTTTCATAAATGAAAGCAGCTTTAATATTCAACTTTCTAGTGTTTGAAACCAGCCTGAAATAGATCATTTCATGAGAGTTTGATAAACTTCATTTCAACTGAATCCAAGGAAATGAGGGGAAAAAAAGTCTTGCAGATGAATGCTTTTTAAGGGATTGGGAGGAAGAGACACCATTATGTAAAGGAATGTTTAGTATCACAGCATATAAATAGCTGGAGCTGACAGCAGAACAATAACTTCAAAAGATCACAAATTAGTCTCAAATCTTAATAAAAAAAGGGACCTGGATTCATTCCATTCTGAAAAGAAGAAAGGATCCCGCTGAATTCTCTTCTTTTGGCACTTCTCAGACATGCTTAACTTTTGATTTCCGTGTTTTTAATCCTGATTTGCACTAATAAAAACTAGGTGCAAATGAGCACTGGTGAGTCTGTAGTGAAGTTAAAGGAATAGTCAAAAATGTCTATGAATATTCATTTGAATTCAGAAATTAGCTCCAAATTGATCATGTCTATGGCTCTTTGTGAGTTTGCTCTCTCTGAGCATACAAGGACTTGAAATTCTCTTTCATGAATATTTGCCAAAGTAAATTTTCAATTAGACTTTTTGGATACTTGCAGAAAATACATTTTCAGTGATCTATTTAATTGTGAGATTTGGATTTCCCATCGTGGGGCCCAGTATTTGGGATCTATTCCATGGGACTGCATACCTGATGGACCTTAGGACAGTTTTTGCTTTGGAGAACCTTTACCTTGTGGACTGCAGAATTCATCATGAAGCAGAACCAAATTAGAAGATACAAGAAAATAAGAAACTGCGCAGATTTCCATTTTCTACTTGAGGAATATTGGTTTTTAGTGGATTGGACATTGTACTTCAGCAGAAAGTGAATCTTAGAGGCCAATTTCTCCTTATTTGTCCTGACAGGAAATTATTGCTGGCAAGTTCAGTGGCTATGTCCAAGCAGAATTAACAAAGTGGGTGGGTTTTTTCTTTAACCATTTAAGACACAAGAATTGTGGTAGAAATCAATGGCTAATAGTTAGAAAAAGCCCTGTATATACACTGGAACTCTAAACTCATTGGAACTCGGAAGTGTGATGTGTGTTTTCACACAGGAAGCTAACATCACTTAAGACACACTAACTCTACTAAGATATTGGTATAAAACAGTTCTCATGGTATATGAAATTTCAGCATAGTCTTGAGCATGTTGTTACTTGCAGGAAGACCTGAAGCTGAAAAGAATATTCTTACTAAGGATGATGATAGAAATAGTCCAGTAAATCTTCCATGGCAGAGGAAGAAACCAGCAACAGTGGGCAAGGTGGAAGGGTGAGATGTGTCCTGCTTGGCACATGTATAGGTGAACAGCCTGGGTGAGGTTTTACCTGCAATTGCCAGCCCACTGTACTGCTGATCTCAGGGGCAGGGAGCAGGAGAGGTCCTTATCCATAACTGCAGCCTAGGAATGTGCTATCGAAGTTTAGTTTAGTTTTTGTTTTGTGAGTGCATCCAATGCTGTGCCCAAGGAACAAGGGATGGGACAAGAGGAAGCGGCCTCAAACTGTACCAGGGGAGGTTTAGATGGAGCTGAGGAACAATTCCTTCCCCAGAAGGTGCTCAGGCATTGGAACAGGCTGCCCAGGGCAGTGCTGGAGTCACCGTCCCTGCAAGTGTTCACACACCGTGGAGACAAGGCCTCAGTGCTATGGGTTAGTGGTGGCCTTGGCAGTGCTGGGGAATGGTTGGACTGGATGAGTTTAAAGATCTTTTCCAATGCCACTGATTCCAGGATTCTAAGAGTCTAACCACTTATTTTGCTGGACCAAATGTGTCTGGATTTCACCTTTTACTTTCCCCAGACCCTATGACTGATTCAGCTCACTTGGTTACTTGGGGAGCAAAGAACTGAAGTACATGCTAATGCACACGTATTTCCTCAGAGCAGAGGAGTGGTTTCTCACCTAGTTATTAGAGTCAGCTGGAGGGCAGGTAACAGGCAGTGCTGGGTCATTCTCCTTCTGCAGACACAGCCAGTGCCTCTAACAAGCAGCAGGTGAGGGGGAGATTGTTTATGATGTTTAAGGTGCTCTAAGAGGGTCAAAAAGATATCAGATCAGGTTTCTGAAACCAAGACAACTAAGTTATTCAGCATGAACAGTCTTTGCTTGCAAAGGTGCTGAGTGCCTTGAATCCCATCTTCAAATATTCTGCAAGCTAAAATGCTATTTATTGGAAGAAATCTGTGAGTACTTTCAAGCCAGGGATTATTCAGGGAGTTTTGTAAGTGTTTTATAGGCTATTTACAAGCAAGAAAAGAAGGATGAATAACTTATTTCATGACATATTACTTCTTCATCTCTACTTTTGGTGGTGAGGGAATCCAGCCCCAGTGCCTAGAAGGCATACATGCCAAGGATTGGATTTCCTGTGTAGAAGCTATCCGATGTGATAACACAGTTGTACTGCATATTCAGTTTTGATATGTAACCTTTTAAATAAATTGGAATACTCTTTGTGCCTATACCAGCACACATGGAGGGATCATAAACAATAATGCTGTAAAGGTCACTTCCTCTCAAAGTGCTTGGAGCTTATGGCAAGAGCAGTATAGGCCTATTAAAGGACCTTTATGCTTCTGGGATTTGGTGGGAGTTAATATTTTTGCAGTTTTGAATCTCTGTTTAGTCATAGGATCATAGAATCATAGAATCAACCCGGTTGGAAAAGACCTTTAAGATCATGGAGTCCAACCATTCCCCAGCACTGCCAAGATAACCACTAACCCATGGCACTGAGGGCCTTGTATAGGGGCTCTATAGTCTTTTATACCATGGGTCTGTCTGTACAGCCTTGTGCTGCCTTGCCCTGCTGCAGGGCTAGCAGTGAGTGCCCTCATTGCCTGTTCTGGGGTGATCTGGGAGGTTGCTTGAGGAAGCAGCATGATGAAGCATGACTGAGGCTGGCAGCATCCTTGCTGCTGGCAATGAGGGGAAGCACAGCACAATTCAAACCACTGCAGTTTTGACCTGGATGAAGGGGCATTGTGCACCCTCAGCACATTTGCTGATGACATGAAGCTGGGGATACACCTGAAGCTGTGCTGCCATTCAGCAGGACTTCAATAGGCTGGAGAGAAACCTAATGAGGACACTTTCCTGTGTGCCCTGATCTGGGTGGCCCTGCCTTGGCAGGGGGTTGGACTGGATGATACCCAGAGGGCCCTTCAACCCTAATGGTTCTGTGATGCTGTGATTCTGTGATAAAACCATGAAAGGCTGCTGACCTTTTGTGCCAGAAGCATCCCAAAACAACCAAGTAGCACACCAGTTTAGCATCCTCAGGAACCCAGGCAATGCATCAGTGCCAACAGTGGCTGAGGGATCTGCGCAAGGCAAGAGATACCAGTTGCCCACCAAGCCCATATTGCTCAGCTCTTCCTGCTTTGTCTTTGAAGGTGCTAATGATGTTACTGATGGAACCATTTTATTTTGGCCCAGTGGAAAACTTCTCTTGGTCTTGCTTGTCTCCAGCAAAATATTTTATCTCAGAAGGAACCTTTGGAAGCATCCAATCAACAGGAAAACCAACTATATCTGCTGGTCTTTAGAAGTAAAAGCACCTTCTGTTACAAACTCCCCTTATATTATAGCTGCTGGGCTGTTCTTCTTTCCTGTGATTGACAAGAGAGCCTAAATCAATATCTTTTTCTTTTCAGACCTCTATTATTTTAAGGAAATCCACATCTGTCTTGCTGACAGTTAGTTTAGGGAAGAGTTATTCCCCACTGTAGTGGCATCAGCGGACACCATCAGCTGGGTAAATAGAGTCTATCTGGTGTCATTAAAATAGCCCCTAGCCTGTGGCTGTGTGCAGCATTTGGGAGCTCCTGCCCCACAAGAGAGTCAAGAAGGAGGCTGTGGTTTAATTCTGAGATATGTTTCTCCAGTTCTCCCTATTGGTGTGAAGCCACTGTGGCTCATAGAAAGAGCAGGATGTTTGTAAGGACATCAGGGGCTGCATCAACAGGAGTGAGAGCAGCAGATCAAGGGAGGTGATTCTGCCCCTCCACTCTGCTCTGGTGAGACCCCACTTGCAGCACTGTGTACAGTGCTGGTGTCCTCAACAACAGCAGGACATGGAGCTGTTGCAGCAAGTGCAGAGGAGGCCACGAGGGTGATCAGGGGCTGGAGCACCTCCTGTATGGAGACAGGCTGAGAACACTGGAACTGTTCAGCCTGGAGAAGAGAAGCTGCGTGGAGACCTCAGAGCAGCTTCCAGTGTCTGAAAGAGGCTACAAGGATGCTGGGGAGGGACTCTTCATCTGGGGCTGCAGCGATAGGACAAGGGGTGATGGGTTCACACTGAAACAAGGGAAGCTCAGGTTAGATCTAAGGCAGAAGCTCTTCCCTGTGAGGGTGCTGAGGCGCTGGCACAGGGTGCCCAGAGAAGCTGTGGCTGCCCCATCCCTGGCAGTGTTCAAGGCCAGGTTCGACACAGGGGCTTGCAGCCACCTGCTCTAGTGTGAGGTGTCCCTGCCCGTGGCAGGGTTTGGAACTGGATGATCTTTAAGGTCCTTTCCAACCCAAACCAGCCTGGGATTCTATGATATTGGCAATACACAGAGGTGTCGTAATTAGCCAACACCATAGTGTGCTCACAGAAAGGATGCTTGATGTTGCAGTCCAAGTTCCTGCTGCCAGCATCTGTGCTGCTGTGGTGTTTATTCAATACCTAGGAATTTTAGTTCAGATTATTTCAGCTCTGTCTCAGTGAGAAGCCCTTGAATGTGTGATCCAAAGCTTTGATTTCTTTCTTCAGATGGGTATTTCCCAACCTGAAAGTATCAGTGAGTTTGTTGCTCACCCCTCCTGCAGGAGCATGACCAACCCTATGAAGAGCTTGTCTGGCTTATGGGACTCTTAATAAATCACCTAAATTTTAACACATTTGCATGACAGAATTTTACACAAGGTTGTATTTTCTGTGGCATTATAGAAATATGTATTTGTTCCACCTTACTCCACAGTCTGTAACTGGGGTTTCCTCAGTACATTGGGGCTAGTAATTTTATTCCTTTGGCAGCATTTGTCTGACCTTCCCAATGGACCCTGCTTCCTGAATTGAAAGGAATTTATGGTAAGATACCACATAATCTTCCCAGGAAAGGGATAGGACTTCAATCTCAGAATAAGGAATAAAAGATGTAATTTCCCTTGTGATTGATAAGCCTCATTTGTAAATGAACTTGCTTAGTGGGAGGGTGAAAAATGGTTGGAACAGTTAAAACATGGGTTGAATGTGGAGAAACTACATTTCCATCAGAAAGATTATAAATCTGTCTTTCTGTGGAATGTGGAATACAAAATGATTTTTAGACATTAAATTAACAAATTAATTTGGCTGACACAACCTCCAATTTACATAGCAACTATTCTTTCTATTTTCCATGTAGACCATTTTCTGTGTTCTGCTGTGACTGAGGGAAAAACAAAGCAGATGAGTCCTTTAAGGCAAGAGGAAAACATCCCAAAAGTCATTTCAACTCATTCCAAGAGTTGTGCAGTGGGCAGGGATTCAGGGAATGACAAAGGCATGCACAGTGATGCCAGGGTAACAGCTGGTATCTGAAGAAGCCCAGTTTGCTGTTCCCTTTAGAATGCTGTGTGGAGCCGTTTGCTGATCAGGCTGTCGCAAGGATGCTGCTGTGGAGCTGCTGGTCTGACACTCATGGCTTGGTATGTCCCAGCTGGTTGGGATCAGGACAGCAAAACCAGATCCTAACTCCACGCTGCCATTGAGACGTGGAATGGCTGCACCAAGGAAAGGTCTCTGTGTGTGGTGGGCTTGTCTTGCTTGTACGGTAGACATTGCCACTAATGGGTGGACACACGGAGGCTCATCTGTGTTTGTCTGTCTCTTAGTGATGTGGGTTAGTGGTGGCCTTGGCAAGCAGCTGGACTTGATGATCTTAAAGGTCTTTTCCAACACATCCCAAAGCTGAACAGCTGGGGAAGGCCAAAGATCCATATTTAAGGCACTAGTTCCTCAGGCAAAGCACAGCACAGTTATGTGATGTGATATGACAGCAAAGTCCAATGACTTTTGACACAGGAGGAATCAGGTGAATGTCTCAGCAAGTGCAGCTCATTTGCACAAGCAGAGTCCAGCCCCCCACTTAATTTAACTTAATCCTGTAGGGACATTTCAGACAGAAGATAGGGAACGATCCATGAATCCAAAGGACAATGTAAGAAAAGCCTAATGATTATTTCCAATTTCTTCCACAAGCAGTTTAAGGAGAAAAACCCTGTTCCATATCTCTGTTATCATGTGCTGCTTGACATTGAAGTTCAGCAGCAAACTATGTGAAATCAGCCATTCACATTTCCGGTAGCCAGAAATGACAGTGTGAAGATATTGAGAATAGAGAAGCAGAGATATAGGTTTCCCATTCTCCTTCCTTTCATCCCTTGCACAGTTTGGCAGAGAGTTTGGGAAGGGGCTTTTCGTCTCTTCGGGGAGAGACATAAACTTGGACCACCCAGGCTCAAACTCTGCCAGCTTGTCATTCAGCTCCTGCATTCAAGATGTTGCATATTAATAGCACTCCCTGATGGCTGGTGGATGGGGGTCTCTCCACCTATGCAAAACAAGCCTCTTGGCACAACAAAGTACAAAAGAGGCCCACGCAGGAAAAAGAAGATGCACTTGAGATCTGGTTTGGAGAAGCTCTGCACAGATGCTCGTGTGCAGATGCATATTTCAGATGTTCTTTTCCTGATTAGCATGCAGCAACCTCACCTGGTTTGCTGCTGAAAGGAGTCACGGTAGAAATGGAGAAACACCTGCATGAGTTCAGTTCTTTTCTCCTATGAATATGATTTCCACAGCACCCTCTTTCAACTGCTCTTCTGTGCAGCCACTGCGTGCTTTTCAGTCTCCTTCTTGGATGTGCCTACTCCAGCAACCCCAACCACTTCCCTTCTCTTCTTCTCAACTTCAGGATGGAGACTAAGCAGGGGACTGCACGTTGAGAAGAGAAGGGAAGTGGTGGGTGGACTGGTCGCATCAGCTCTTACTGTACTGAGCATCACTAGGCATGCTCAGGCCAGATGGGTTCTGGCATGGCTGAGAGAGGAGGATGAGCTAGTCAAGTCCAACCATTCACAGCACTGCCAAGGCCACCACTGCCAAGGCCACCACTAACCCATGGCACTGAGGCCTCGTCTCCACGGTGTGTGAACACTTGCAGGGACGGTGACTCCAGCTCTGCCCTGGGCAGCCTGTTCCAATGCCTGAGCACCCTCTGGGGAAGGAATTGTTCCTCAGCTCCATCTAAACCTGCCCTGGTGCAGCTTGAGGCTGTTTCCTCTTGTCCCATCCCTTGTTCCTTGGCAGCAGAGCCCAGCCCCTCCTGGCTCCATCCTCCTGTCAGGCAGTTGTAGGGAGCGATCAGGTCCCCCCTGAGCCTTCTCTTCTCCAGACTGACCCCCCCAGGTCCCTCAGCCGTTCCCCATCACACTTGTGCTCCAGGCCCTGCTCCTCACACCAGAGAACAGATTACAGACAGAGGTCTCCAGGTAAATCTAGGGTGGATTTTGATGCAGCGGCTCTTTCATACTCTTTGGCTGAAGTCTGCTGACTGACACCAATGGGGCGAATAGGCAGTGGAAGGGGTCTCTCTATTTTCCTAAGCTGTCTAAATCAGTTCGGTGTTTGAGGCGTGGTGGTGTGTTTCCTGGGAACTTCCTTTCTTTCTGTTACCCTCCTGAGAAAAGCAGCTGATCCCTTTGGAGTTTGCAAAGGAAGATGCGCCCCACAGAGTTAATGTTGTGTGCACTACATGGGGAAAAGGTATGTTTAACAAAAGGTGAGAAGTTATGGATCAAATAATGCTGTGGAAGCTACTCTCACAAACAATGAAGATCATTCTGGATGCACTCCAAATATCGTTACTATTGCTTAATTTCAACTCCAGTGCTGCATCTGCTTAAGATAGTGTCAAAGATGATAATCTCACCAGACAGATACAAAGCACGAAACTGAAATGATGTTGCTCCATTATTTTATTTAGTAGTGGTGTGAAACTCCTGGGTTTGTGTGAATCATGCAGGAGAGCTGTGATTTTTACCTTTAAACTCCCCTGAAAATGCAGCAGTTTAGCATCGGCACCTGTTCCTTTCCAGATTACGCCACATGAATGAGTTTGGTCGGAGTCACCATGGTGAGGAAAAGATAATGGAATTTCAGGTAAGAGTTCTTCATAATGAATTCCTTCCTTACCCCATGTTAACACCCACACACGGAATTAGGGACCTTTGTAACACAATGCAACAATTTACTAGACAGCACAAAACACCAATTATAGAATTGGACTGAAATTGGCTGCCAAATCCTCCCTTCCCTGATAAAGGAAGGATAGGTAAGTCATGCCAGCACATTTTAACTCCTTCTTAAAAAACCACTTGGGTCTATTGTGTGATTTCTCAGTGATACAGAAGTAGATTGGCTGCAGTGCTATGTATATGAAAGGAAGTGCAAAGGAAAATAGAAGTGGATAGGTCAGGAACAGCGGTGAATATGAACTCAGTTTGGATCATATTTATTTAAATAATCACAACAGAGAGTTAAACTTGGAGCATCTTCTGATTTACACAAGGGGAAAAGGAAAGTCAGCTCCTATATTGTACGTTTCGCTTGATAAAAGCAAGGCAGCCTGTATGGATGAGGCATGCGACTGAGGTTCCTCAGCTGATATTTGATAAAAGCACAATTAAATGTCAGTGTTTTACAAAGAACTCTTGAATCCTCAGACTGAATCTTGTCTGGTTTTACTGGGAGCAGCGTACCAAAGTGTAAGCAGAACTGAGCAGGATCTGACTTTCCATCACAGACAGTTAATAATTAAATCAAACATTATATTCAACAATAGAACATATGCATCAGCTTCTTTCAAATTGCATTTCCTTCCTGTTAGATCCATTAGTGTAAACCAGACTGCCTTTAGAAAACCCCTTATTGCTGCTGTCTTTCAGCACAGTTCCTGAAATGGATAATGTGGTGCATATTATGGGCAATTACACAGAACTCCCTAGTGATAGGGTTTTAGAGTTTTAGAATAAAACAGCTGGAACTACAGGGCTGTAAACTACTCTGAAAAAGAGACAATAGTAAGACAGTTAATACACATTGTTAGAGCATGGACAAAGACAAGATGTGGAATACTACGTTTCACCGTACCCACGACATCACACAGCATCTTCTCTGCAAAATCCCGTTTAACTCTTGAAAGGCAAAGCAGCCAAAAAGCAAAGGTTTTGCCATGAGAAAATGCACCCACAGCTGTATAACCCAAGCTAATTGGAAACATGAAAGAAAGAAGTCTTGATCCAGAGCCCTGCTTTTCTCCTAATGGCAGCAGAGTTTGACTCAAATCCAGAACCCTATTAAAAATGATAATTTATTAATGAATGCATAATGAATATACACCTAGATACACTAAGAAGCTATGTCTCCCTCCCTCCTTTACTGTTTCAATATACTCTGAAAATGTAGCATTTGGGATACAAAAATTGGACACAAGATTACAGCTCCAAGACGCCACACTTGGTCCTCCATCAGTTCAAATTGACAGCAAAGCTCCCATTAATTTTAGTGATATAGCAGTGAATTTTTAGGAGAGCACATGCATCATTTGGAAGCACAATGACCATGATTACATGTGTAATCATAGTAATTGTGCACACAATTACTGGTTGGGTATCTCACTGCCTTTTCAAATCACTTGCTCCACTTGCATGTCTACTCACAGCAGTTGCTTGTGCAAATACAGCGCAGCCCAGAGCATCCCTACTCTGTGCTCTGGGAAATGATACAGGAGAGAGCTCTGTCTGTGGCACTATGTGGGGTAGGGAAGCGTACGTTTATGCTGTGGTCGTGTGAACAATAAATAAGAAGGGAAGAGAAATGGTTGCAGTGTCTCTTTGGGGAAGTAAAAATGTGAAATCCCTTCAACTAATTTTTCAAAGGGACAGAGACTGATTTTCCTCCGGCTCCTTTCTTGTGAGGCTCCTTATCAGCAGGGGCCAGCAGGCATCAGCGAGTTGGCGTTTTGTAATGCTGTGTCAAAATGAGCAAATAATTGAGCAAATAACAGCCCCACGCTGCAGTAACGCAACGAATGAAACAAACAAGCAAAGAGAACCCAACGCTGGGTAAAATCATGAGGCTTCAAAAAGTCAGAAAACTGCTTTTCCGCTGAGTTTGCTGTGAGTTTCTCACATTGCACAACCTGAAAGCCAGTTGTTGTGGCGAGCTCTGGTTGAAAAGGTGACTCCTTTTGCTCAGAAGATTGATTTTTATACTCATAGCTGTATATAAAAGCACATCCTCTGTAGGCAGTGATAAGAATTCCAGATCCATCCTTTTGCACAGCAAAACGGTAGCAGGACAAATTTGACACAAAGCATCTTATTCAGCTGTCCCTTACAATCCTGACCTCCCTCCTTCCCTGGAGACCGATGAGTCTGTTTTCTTTTCTCAACAACAGCTTTACCACTCCACATTCGAGGGAACAAGGAGCTGGGGTGGATGTGATGGTTACAGATGACACATGCTGTCCAAATGAGATTTGTATATAAAAATACCAGCGTGTCCAGCAGTGTTTGAGGTCTCAACTTCCTTTGGTTTAGAGGCTGAAAATTAGAAGCTCATCCCCGTTTGTGGGTTTTAGTCCATCAGCCCCTTGTGTCAGGGTCTGGGAAGTTTGGCCCTGAGCTCTGATACACTGAGATGATGAATACACGAGCTCTGTCAGGCAGAAGAGGAAACAGCATTCACATGCTTTGAAAAATGTTTGCTCTGCTACCAGAAATCTTCAGCGCATTTCCACCAAACAGCATTAGCTTGCTGCTGAACAAAAGGCCAGGGAGCACTGTGCTGTGCTTCCCAGTTTGTCAGAGCCCATGGTCATATCGGCTTGACAGGTTAGCAAAATAGCTCTGAGTGAAGCCGGATGATGTGTCCTATTGCCACAAATAACTGCTAAATAACTGCTTAAAACTTTGTTGTAATACTTGCATAGAATCCCAGACTGGTTTGTGTTGGAAAGGACCTTCAGCTCATCCAGTTCCAACCCCTGCCACAGGCAAGGACACCTCACACTAGAGCAGGTTGCTCCAAGCCCCTGTGTCCAACCTGGCCTTGAACACTGCCAGGGATGCGGCAGCCACAGCTTCTCTGGGCACCCTGTGCCAGCGCCTCAGCACCCTCACAGGGAAGAGCTTCTGCCTTAGATCTAACCTGAACTTCCCCTGCTTCAGTGTGAACCCATCACCCCTTGTCCAAATGCTGCAGCCCCTGATGAAGAGCCTGATTCTCTACAACCATCCTGCTGCTAATTGCAAAAGTTTTGTTCTTAGTTTCATTAGAGCAAACATGAAGTAATCCCGTGGAACTTCAATCAGAGGGAACATCAGCTCTATGCATTGCTTTGGGTCTGCAGTCTTGTATGCAGGAGCTGTGCGTGTGGCCTGAATTCTTTATGAAACATCGAAAGCTGTCTCTTTTGCCATTAACTTTAGAGAGCTACAGGAAGTGTTGAAGCTAAGAAATCCTACAAGCCCTGTAGAAAACATTTCTTTATACAGATCTGAAATGTTATTGAAGGGAATTCACCCTAAAGGATGGACAGCTGCTGGGATGTGAAGAGTATAAAGCTCTACAGGTTCTTCTGTGACATGGTCTAGTGGGACATGTCCCTGCCCATGGCAGGTGGTTGAAACTGGATGACTTCAAGGCCCTTTCCAACCCAAACCATTCTGTGATTCTATGATTCTAAGGATGTATGTTGGAGAAACGTTCCCTCAGAAGCATACATTTAGTCTCTGATACCTTTGGTGATAACGTGCTGCCTTGTCTGCCACCTCTGCAAGTGTGGCTTTACTTTCGCTGTTATTGCAACATGCATCAAGTGAAATGAAAACAGGAATTTGGGCTAGGATATAATTAACCTACTTGTGAGTGCTAACCTTAAATATCATGCTAATTATCTTGCTAATTTAATTACTGCAGATCTCAAACTTGTTTGTTAAATACTGAATTCTGCAAATCGTTTTTGATGCTGAGGTGTGGGGAGCTTGCTGGGAATGTAAGTTACTCTCGGAAACTCCTTGCGAAGCCATTGTATGTGAACAAACCCCACTGTCAACAAGACTTTGAATGGAAATCAGAGAAACCAGGCCCTGAGGCTAAGAGATACAGTGTCCTCTTATTTGTAAACCTAATGAACATGTTGTGCAGGGAGTAGACACGGGTAAATTTCTGCCTGCACATCTTCATGTTTGATTCTACAGGAGTCTAGACTGGAAAGCTTTACTTTTCCTTGTTTCTCTGGTTGCAATGCAGCTGTAGGGTTGTTTCTGATCTATTCACCTCTTGATTACTTGAGTAACTGAGCAAATTATGTCCTTGATCTTCAGCCCTTCTTATCAAGTGACTACTTTGTGCTAAAAGTAACCTAAAATGTGTTTAGATGCTCCAACACCGCCCAAAGTGGCTCTAATTATTCCTGAGAGGAAGCTTTTGAATTTGGGAGTGTTTGTGGAGAAGATGAAAGCTCAGTGTTTGTTCCTGCCTCCCCGATGGGAGGGGGCCATGCTGGCACAGCCTCCCGCAAGCACCCACGAGGCTCAGCCAAGCACAGCTGGGGCAGGGGCATGGGAAGAGGCGATGGGTTCCAAGGAACAGCCAAGCCAGGATGAGCACTGGAGGCTAGGGGTACCCTCATGCTCTGTCCTATGGGAATGTGGGGGCTCTGTGCTGTGCAGCCCCATGCTTCAGGCTGTACTCGTGTGGCAGTACTTCTTCAGTAGCATTTTCTTCATTTTTGTTGTATCTGTCTCCTTAATTGAGGAAGGAGGTGCAAGGCTGGGGTTGACATTGTGTTTCTGCACTGTAATTCTTCCTATTATCAGAGGAAGGTGCTAAGTACAGGTGATGGCTCACAGCAGACCTCTGAGAGAGGCTATTTGATTAGTGAGGTATCCATATAAATACCTATTTGGGATTATATTGTTACCTTCTCATATATTATTCAGAATTTCCTCCTGATTGCCCTTATTTATTTATTATGATCTTGCACACAAAATTTATCCTGTTTAGTTCATCCCTGGCAATAAGAAACAAATTTCTGTGAATTTAGCTGAATAAAGCTATGTTTGTTCTTGTTAGTCATCAGAAGTCTGGTCCTTTCTATGCATTATCTCAATTCCTGGGCATTTTTACCCTTCATTTACTCCCCAAATGACTTCAATACTAATGAATACTGAAAGACAGCCAAGACAGGATGAACTTTTGGACAATTTATGCAAACAAAACAGATGAGAATAGATTTACTATAAACATGTCAAGCACAAAAGACTTGACTGCTTTTTAAATACAGATACTGGAAGAGATTTATGGATATTTTCAACTGTTCATTAAAGAGAAAAATATTTCGAAACTATAGGCACTCTCCTTTTATGCAGTTTTGCCTTCGAGGCTCAGTTGCAAACCTTTGATGTTTTCTTCACCAAAAAATAAAAGTAGTTCTGAATTTATTTCTCCCAAGCACTTTCATTTTTGTGTCAATTTACAGTTTTTATTACATTGCTGGCACTCCATACGGTGGTGTTTGGAGAGCAGTTAGTCCACAGCTCGGAGTGTTCTCAAAATAGGGATGAAGTTCACTTAACGATGCTTTCCGGCCACTGTCTTTCTTCTCCTCTTTTTAGTAATAAAAGGTTAATAAAATCTATGAATACTTTAACTGCCTGCCAGAGCAACCAACCAATTAGAGATGATTCTAATCTAAATGACTGGAAGCCACTTGAATTGAGGAAGTTAACATGCGATAGCTAGAACCTGCTGGATCAGATTCATAACATGGAAAGGCTTAGACATGGAAATAATGTATAAATATAGTCCCTATAGGAGGCTGAGGCATCAGTTCTTGCAGTCAGACAGGCATATATTTAACAGTGTATGTTCAGAGTCTGCTTCTGTGCCCTTACAAATCAATAGTAAACCTTACTTTCAACACCAGTGCAACTGAGGTTGTTGTCGGTCAATGATTTTCCAGGATGGGATAGAGGCGTTGGAGTAGTTTCATGGAATTACTGGATTCTTTCTTTCTAACATAGTGCTAAACTCATCTAGGTAGTAAGGAATCTCAATGGGAAAATATGTGCCCTTGCATTGCTTCTTAAAGAAATTGTATCTTGTCAAATCTCCCATGAAGTCAAAATTGCACCAAAATGGCAGCAGGAAAGACTGTGCAGTGCTTGAAGATCTAAACCTGCATATTTACAGTGCTGATTATGCTTTGGCTCTTTGAGAAGGTGGAGAAAGAGCACATTTGGGTGGAAAAGAACGCAATTTTCATTGCAACCTTAGGAAGACATTGGCAATTTTGGCAGAATGATTTGAGCATTGGGAGACCCTTCCAAAGAAGGCAGGAAGCTCAATAAAGGCTTCATTTTGGAAAATGGAGTAACTGCAAGTCATGTTTTAACTAATTTTTAGTGGACCTGCATTTCCAGCCTTTTTTATTTAATTGAAGAGCCACAAAGCAACACACATTTATAAATAACATAATGCAGTTGGAGATAATGCAAATGTCTTTATAAATAACACAGTATCGCTTAAATCATTATTTTTAATGCCTCTATTTTTTGTTCCTATATGAACAGGTCTGCGCTGGTCTGCATTAATTAAATTTAAGTAGGATTTCTAAGGCCAGATCATCATTACTTCTGTGTCCCTGATTTAAATCTGCAGTAAAACATTTCTCCATTTAGTTTGGTGCTTTTGTGTCATATTTCATACACTAGTTGTCTCTTAATTAAATCCATGATGGCCCACCAACACAGACTATTAAAATAACTATACTTTGCACTTGACATATTTATGAGACAGATTCATAAGAGTATAGACTGATACTTGAACTACTCACTGAGAAATGCTAATAAGATTATGATGAAGGTAAGATTAGAACATTCGTCTCCTTTTCTCTTCTTCTTTCTTTTTAGGAATTTATTTTTATAACTGCAATTCACTACTTCTATTTCAGGCTGTTGTTGTATATACCAACAGCTCTTTCTGTGTGGATTTATTGTGGCAATGAAGAGTGGGGAGCTGCTAATTCATATCACACCACTAAAGCGCATAAGTATTGTGGTCCCTGAAGGATGAATGTTTGCAGATGTCTGTAAAACCTTCACATGGGATTGACATGTTCAAGATTGTGTATATTCAGGAGTTAGTCTACATAAAGGTGAATTGGGTGATGTGAAATATGGATTACCATGAAGTGCTGCACTGTTTTACCTTTATTGCCTTATATCTTCAGTGGTCCTGTTGGCTTGATCTGTTCTTGCGTGAGGGAGAAGGCAGTGATCACTTGCTGCATGATGTTGGGCCAGGCAGGATGTGGCCTTATCCATCTCTCAGCTTCAGCACAGCATGTTGGCATCTCGTGGGTTGTGCAGTTTGCTCTGGGTGGTTTGACTGTCACAGCAGTGTTGGGAATTGTGTGGATGTATGGTCTTGGTGGTTAAGGAATACAGAAAAGAAAGCAAATCTACAAGCATATGACTTGAAAGGTTGCTTTGCATATATACTGGGGTTTGATCATTTGCATTTATAAATCGGACTTTTTGCATCTAAGATGCTGCATTGGACAGGGCTTGGAGCAACCCGGTCTAGTGAGTAGAAGGTGTGCCTGCTTGTGATAGGGGGGTTAGAGCTAGATGATCTTTAAGGTCCCTTCCAATGCAAACCATTCCATGCTTCTAGGATTCTAGGATCTTGAAATGACTTCTTAGAAGCTGATATCTACTTGATAATTGTGTTAATAATTTGGATATGGAGGGTTCAAGAAACTCCATATTTGAGAAAAAAATTGTTGCTAGAAGTGAAAAAGCTACTAAGGTTTTCTATCTCTTTTCAGGACCATGAAATTCACCTCTCAGGGACCTTTTCCCTCCCTTCCTTCCTCCCTCCCTCCCTCCCTCCCTCCCTCCCTCCCTCCCTCCCTCCCTCCCTCCCTCCCTCCCTCCCTCTCTCCCTCCCTCCCTCTCTCCCTCCCTCTCTCCCTTTTTATCCAGTCACATCCTTTCATGGAAGGGCTCCTGTACATCGCTGCATTAAAGGTCCAAGTGTGGGTATGAATATAGAGAGCTCTAAATACATGCAGTTTGAAGGGTATTTATGTTACAAGTGTGATATGTTTCTATATATAGAAGCCCAAATCTACATGATGTTCAGTTTTTTTTGATGATTATATGTTACTATGCTTCATATGGTATTCTCTATGAAAGCAAAAAAAGCATCAAATGTTGGGATTTCAATCTTAGAAAGTAAGAACAATAAAGATATATTCAATATTTCATCGTCTACAGAAATAAAGCAGCCACAGTTCAGGGAGCTTCACTAAACACATTAAGTCTAATAGAATCGCCTACACGTCCTCCTGACACTAGTAGTAATTAAAGTAACTTGCCTCAAAAAACTGGGCCTATACATGAATACTTATTGGCAATTATTTCTAAGTTCTTCAAACCAAAGCTAACATAATTTGATTCACACACAATGTTCTTGTAAAAGTAGTTCATACTGGGGTTTATATGCAGCTTAGGACTCTTAATTGCCATTCGGAGCCTCACAGTAAAATAGAGTTCAGCGTGTCGCTCTGGCTGAAGTATTGAGAAGTGTTTGAGAAATGCTTGTCTCAGGCCGATCAACTGCTGAATAATTTATTCCTGAGCCCTACTTTTCAGTATGAGTGGACCTGACTTTTCTCAGAGCTTTGAAATCGAATCAACTTGATACATTCATTTCATTAATGAAATCTGTAATGAGCTGGGATGTGTCTTGTACCAACAGGCTCCTTTGGTTGTGTAGAATTAGCCTATGTTCATTGTGAATGTGATGGTAGTTTTTTATACTGACAGGTAGACTTTACTAAACAAATCCATTGTTTTTTTCCACATGTATAGGTCAATATGAATGAAATATAAACTGTTTTCTGAGCTGACCCAGCATCCAGCTCCTCTCATTCATACAGCTGTAGCTTCCAGGCAATTCTCAGTTCTGGAAGGGTTACAAGTGTTCTTCTGTGCTTCAGAGAGAAGGAAGATGGAATCAAGGTGTGACATACAAGAGTGTGGATAAGAGACTGCCTTTTTTCAGTCAAAGTTCACCTGAAAAAGGTCATCCCAGTAGAAGATTAAAACACTGACACAAGCTTGTGGTCAGGATCCACACACCATGGAGTGTGTGGAGGGGTGAGCTAAGGATGCTGAGGTTAAGTCCAGCCTGAAGAAGTTTTTTCTCATTTCTCTGAGCAATCAGCATCATTGGAAGGAAATAGCTGCTAAAATAAAGGGCTCATTCCTCGTATATGCATCTTTTATATATTAACTTGCTAGTAAATGTTTACAAGTCCATCATTCCTCCCATCATTATGTGACAGAAGGAACATCTTTTATTAAAAACAAAGAGAGATACTGTGGGGATTGGCACATCTGTTTTTATTCCTTATGCTCAGGCAAACTCTTCAGCCTCAGAGAAAAGGTCTTTGACCCTGGCCTAAAATACTGTCCAGTGCTTATGGGGTGTAGTAATATGAAAATCATCAGACCTGTCCTTGGCAGTATGTTTCTTTCCATTAGTTGATTAAAATGGTTTATTGTTGCCTACAGCACTGTTGCTTTGTATGTATTTTTGTTACACAGAGCAGATGTGCCCAGGTCCTGCACTGCTTCTCTTTGTGCGGTTTTTGATGAATACAGAAGTGAAATCACTACCTGGGCAGATCCCCCTCCCCGGGAAGAGGGAAAGAAGGGAAAGATGAGGGGCTCAGTGGTGGAGCTGGGGTACCGGCTGCATGGGGATCAGCAGGGGAAGGCTGCACTCTTGTTGCATCAGGATGAAAACCTTCCCTATCCTTCTGCTATTACAAAGAAAACAGGAAAAGTCCAAGTCTTCAGGGAGAATCTGATGTTTCTTTGTTTTCTTGTTCTTGCTTGATGGGGGAGCTGGAATCTCAATACAAATGCTATTTCCAAGTCCAGATTCATTTCAAGCAGTGGCTTTGACACAAGTACCTTTCCATCCCCCCCCCAGCACAGGTTTTTCTAAGGCATGTTGTCATGTAATAGTAATATGATCTTTCATTACAGAGTCACAAATCATTGGGCATGTGATCTTATGCTCAATAAATATTTATTTGAGAATGATAGGTTAATTAATTTCCATTGTTTCTGGTTTAATTCTATACATGCTTATACTATACAATTAGAGAAAAACACAGAGAACCAGGAGTAAATGCTACTCATGCAAAATGTTTCTATTATCCTTTACTTTTAAAACCATTAATAGATTATTATGAGATATAAACATAGGAGACCATGGATCATATTTGCATGTTAATGAAATCCATGAATTATACATTATTTGCTGTGGAGAGTACTAGAAACAGTATTCCTCCTTTCTAATAGCAATAAAAGCTGGCGGTTTCCTGGAGCACACATCACATCCCCTCTGCAATACCTTCTAATAGAAAAGAAAGAAATCCAGCTCTTCAAAGCAATCTCTCTCTAAATGAAATAGATTTGTTTGTGTTGCTTTGCAACACACCAATGTGACAGTTCATTTTTAAACAAAATAGTTTTAATAATGTCATTACTAATATCTATTTGGTCATCTCACTGAAAAATGGTCTTTTAATAGGAATGTTTCATTTTAATAAATGGCAGAAGAGGCAAGCTCTGCCCTGAGTCAGCAGGAAGTGGATATACACCAGAGAACAGGCTGATTGTGTTAGATTCATCCAGAACATTGAACAGCACACAGACAGTCCAAGAAAAAGCAACTGCCTTTATTCAAATGATTAGTTTTACTGCTACGCTGTAGCACAGATTCACACATTCTTCTATTATTCCTTGACCTTGTGCCAAAACCTCCCACTTGAAGTAATAATTAGAATTAGTGTTTCCAGTGCATGCTTCCATCTTCCTCACAAACAGTAATGAAATGTGGCTTTTACAAAATATGCAGTTAATTAAACTGGTTTTTGGAGCATTGTTTGATTAATACAGTTCCCCTCTGCGAGCCCCTCATTATGCCCAGCTACCTCTACCTGATACTGGTGAGACGGAAGAAAACCACCACTGATGGGATGAGGGAAAGTTCAGAAATATGCACTTTAAAATTGCTTGTGGGGTTGGTTTGGTGGGTTTTTTTCCTTCTTGTTTTGTCTCTGTCAGGGAATAAACTGGAAAATTGGTCATTATTTGTAATCCTGTCTTTTAAGCTGAGGACAGTATGTGTATTCTCTCCAAATACCCTCAGCATGAATATGTAGAGCACATATATCAAGTGATACGAGGTAATAAGTGGATTTGGAGGCAGGATTCTTGCAAAGGTGGCTCAGCATTGTATTGCTTAATAACACCATGCAAATAGAAACTCGGATTTCATTTTTTCTTTATTATTATTTCATGCTTTTTTACTGTCTCCCTTAATTATCCCAATGCTGAACAAGTGCAGTCTTTTGATTGATGAGAGTTCCACCCCTTTACCCACACCCCTGACAGATATGAGGCTCCACAGTTTAGTACCATAAATCACTGTGATTGTATAACTTAACTACTGTATGATCAGGAGATCACACACAGCGTTAGCCTGAATATGCATTCATCCTTCGTTATGGATGTTTTAGGGCTGAATTTATTTGGGATGTTTGGAGCAATAAGACATTTCTGCACAGAAGAAAGCAATGCATTTTAAATAAGCAATTCTTTCAACAACTGGAAATAATCAGAAAAGTCTTCTATTTGCAATCTTCATTAATGTGAGTTATGTCATCACTTTAGGAGAAATCCTCTCTGAGAAAAACAACAATTCAGCCCCTTCCCTTCCCTCCCCCAGGTTCTGACAGCTAAAAATCTATGGATCAGCCAGTTTAGTAATTAACCACAATTCCTCTGATTTGTGAATTTCCAGATGATGAGGCAGGAAGCAAGTTATATCTCGGAGAAATTGCCCTCAGGAGAGAGGAAAAAACTACTGCGAGGTTGACAGCACAACCTTGTACTAGCGCAGTTTCCCTTCCCTAGTGGTTCAAGGAGTTCCAAGCACCCTCCTGTAAATCATCAGCTCACATCTATTTATTATCTTCCAGCCCAGTGCACAACACTATCTGTTACACACGGATACCAGCAATATTACAAGGTGGACTCAAGGGATAAGAGACAGCAAACCCTGCACACCTCCTGTGCCTGAGTCACACTGGTATGAAGGCAGGTTCTGTTCATAAAGTACATGCTTTTGCCAGAAATGAGACAGTATGAACTGTTATGTTTCAGAGTAATATTTTTTTTTAGTGTTTCTCAGCATCTTATCAGCTGGTATCGTTGTGTTATTACAGAGACAAAATTTACCTGTGTAGCAATGGACAAAATGTCTGTGAACATATTGCTATTCATTCAATGATGGCTGTTGTATTTGGAGTAGGCACCAGCTACACTCTGTGATGCTTGTCCTGGAATACCAATAAATAAATCATAAAAGCCAATGCTTCAAATATTGAAAAATTCACACTTCAAACTGTGTTTTGAACTACACTGAGAGCAATGTCTCAGATTGTCCTTTTGCTTTATGTGAACAGAGGAAATTCAAAGTAGAAGGAGCTCTCTCCTGGGATTTGGCATAAGGGAGTGCCACAAACCATCAGCCTTCCCGTCCCTGCTGTGCCAGAAAAGCCTCTCCTGGGATATACCATGAGAACCAGACTGTGTGTCTGGGGAGTTCGTGTGGCTTCAGATGAAATCATCTCCTGCAGTATCCACCTCGCCTGATGCTTGTGTGTATGCAAAGGAGCCAGGCAGTGGCAAGGAGCAGGACAGGAGACAAGAAGCAGCACCTCCCTGTGACCCTGTTGGTCTAAGCGAAGTTCCTTGCACCACAGCTTCATGGTGTTAATGAAGGTGAGACATCACCACTCCTTTACTTCCTTCTAAGGCCTGAATTTAGTAAGAACCAGCTCACTGAAATCTCCACCCTGTTGCCCACTTGTAGTGCTCATTGGTAATGGATGTCTAAATTGTATGGTGTGAATGACAACATTAAAAGGTGAAATGAGGGCAAATTCCCTTCTGGAAGGTATGCTGTAGTTCAAGCACAGGTTTTGGGGGCTGATGCCCAAGTTGCAGAATGAATTTCCATGCTTTGCATTGTGCAGGGGGCCACAGTGCAATTCTAATGGTTCTTCTGCTTTTTGAAGCACTAAAATTAGATGAAAGCTACAATTAAGAGCGGTATTCTGTAGTTTAATTGTGAATGCAAGACTAGACTGGCACTGGAAATCGCTCAGGTACATCTACTCAAAGGCTAGAAGCAGCAGCACTGCAGGTATTCAGTGCTTTATCTGATTAGAAAACAGCCTGGCACAGATGTGTTTTCTGCTCCATATATCAAGCTATGGCAGGCTTTTGCTGCTTCATTATGAAAGCATCTGAAGTAAAATAGGTTTTGGAACATAAAAAATGACAAATTTGGAAAAATATCTATATGCCAGATGGGTGTAGGAAGAATCCTTGTGACAAATATATTATTAAGGGAATATGCATAAGGAAAGAAACTGTGCCCAACTCTTCCAAGGATGGACAGGCAGGAAGGTAGCGTCTCACTGTGTCTAATGTATTCTCATCTAGTCTAAATCTAATTAATTATGTTGCACTGCTGACATCAGATCCAGGCACCACACACAATAAGCTGCATCGGGGCTTCAGCAGGACCTGATGGTTGCTCTGCCCTCCCTGCTTTTGTTTGCTTTCCTCGGGGCTGCGGGTCAGGGTGATGACATCTCTGCTGAGGAAAGGCTAATACAAACAGATGAGGCTTCTGCTGCACACCAGCATGAGCTCATCCTGGTCTCCAGAGTTACCACACTGTGTCAGTCTCCTCCAAGGATGCTGCTTGGAGGGGTTTTATTGCAGCCCGTGTGTGCTCCAGTTCAGCTTCTCCTTGTGTCTCACAGAGAAATGGGAGCACTTCAGTCGCTGCTGATTTACTCCACTGATGCTTTTGGAGCTGAGTTCAGTGTCTCAGAGATGAGGCCTGGACTTACTGGGAAGTCAGCTCCTGGCTTTCCCATATAGGAAGGGGTGGTGTCTGTAGCTCTCTGGCTCAGGGCACAAGGGGCTGTGAAAGCAGGAAAGTCAGTATTTCAGACTAAAAACCCCCAAAGGACAGGCAGTCCTGCATCTTTGTGGCACACCAGACCTGAGACGATATGAATGGCATCAGGAGGTGCTGCCTGCAGATACGAAACACAGCTGAAAGAGGTCTCAGCCTTTGGTTCTTCCCAAAGATGGGATACAAACCTGGCTTGGATTCAAGGTGTGAATGATCTAGCCATGAGGAATGTGTTCAGAACTGAAAGAGAAATGGAGGCAGGGAGGGTGGGATGGCAACCGTATCATTTGGCTTCATATAATTTGATTTCACTGATGCCCCCATCCACTATCTGATTGCTCTTTTCCTATTTAAACCCAGACAAACCAGGAGGCTTTTGCTCATGGGCTTTTAGTACTATTTTATTTGGCAGTTATGGAATACAAGAATTTTAGTATTGCCTTAGAGTTTCTCCTGCCATCTATCACAACCAATCCAGCTCATATGTGGGTGAACTGTGCTTTGATCCAATTATACAATTCTATTGGAGCCCTGTTACATTTCTTTTCCCGGGTGCATGTTGAAAAACTCAAGAGCAAAAGAAAATTCCACAAAGTGTTTCTCATTTACTGCAGGTTTGGAGATCCAGGAATGCATCAGACTGGCACTTGTGGAGGCCAACAGCAAACCAGGAAAACAACATGTTCTGCAGGGAAAAATACCCACCCTGTTAAGCATCGGCAAGATTTAGAGGGAGAGTAGCACAATCTGCATGTAGACATTATTGTCCTTGGGGAGACAGCCTTACTTTTGCTAATTGTATCAGCAAGAAGTTTGTTGGTGTCCATCGCTGCAGTGACAATGACAAAGGAGCTGCCAATCTGAAGACATTTCTGAGGATGAATAAAAATGACAAATCTGAAGACAACACAGACGCAAAATGACCCAGGCAGCATCCCCATGTATTATAATGACTGTAATACTTAACAACGCTGCTACTTTACACACTTAGTACCTCTATGGCAAAAATGCATTATTAAATCAACAACCCATGCACCATTTGATTACCATGATGCAGTAGTTGATCTAGGATATTTCTGGCTTCCACTGTCTTCGGGCTACAAAACATAATAAAGGGAATTAGGTGTCTCCCTTGCTCATCTGCTATAGAAAGCCATGCAGAGGCGTAGCTTCACAGTGTTGCTCCCAGGAGAGGAAATACACTCGCTCCAAAACTTTGTGGCTCCATCCTGGTGTTCTCCCACACACCTACCATCAGAATCCCCATCCTAAAACTATGTGACGAGGGAGATGCCAGGACCAAACCTTACGCAAGGGCAGATGTGCATGTGTGCTTGCAGCAGATGTGAGATGCAGCAGGAGGTAATGGGAAATCAATTCCATTGTTTCCCTTTCCTGTGCATTTTGGGTCAAATTCTCCTTCATTTTGCCATAGCACAGTTGAAAAGCAGCTCAACTGAATCACGAGAATTATACCCAAACTGATATAAGCAATGGGCATATTAAGCTATTGCAGACTCTGTTGTTTGCAGTGTTCCAGAGAGCTGTAGCTTAGCTGATGGACCATCACTTTTTGTGTATTCATTCTTTATTATGGTTATTAAAAAAGAAACATTAACAAAACAGGACATAGACCACATTCAGAAGTCTTTTTTCTGTCCTTTGCTCACTTGAACAACAAAAATTAGAGATATTTGGAATGAGGATGACATTGCAAAGCAGCAAAAAGCTCAGAGAAAGCCTTAGTAAGAAGAAAGACAGAAGGAAAGCTAATGGCACTTATGGAACAGTGCAGGGTTCCTGGTAGAATAAAAGACTTTGAAGCTTATGTTCAGAGGCTTGAAAGGAATAGGACAAGGGGGAATGGCTTTAACCTGCCAGAGGGGAGATTGAGATGAGCTCTTAGGCGGAAGCTCTTCCTGTGAGGGTGCTGAGGCGCTGGCACAGGGTGCCCAGAGAAGCTGTGGCTGCCCCATCCCTGGCAGTGTTCAAGGCCAGGTTGGACACAGGGGCTTGGAGCACCCTGCTCTAGTGTGAGGTGTCCCTGCCTGTGGCAGGGGGTTGGAACTGGATGAGCTTTAAGGTCCCTTGAACACTAACCGGTCTGGGGTTCTATGATCATTCCCAAGGCTGCCTGCTCTTGGTGACATCAGTTTTGCCTGCCTGTGATTTCAGCAGCTTAACAGTCCCTTTTTCCCTTATTCCCGAGGGTACAGACAGGTTGTTGGTCTCCAGCTCTGGAACGCCATCTGTGTTTCTGCTCCCTGTGGGAGGCTGACAAACGTGGCACCTCTCCCCGTGCCTTCCCCCGGTCACTCTGAGCCCCGTCATTAAGCTCTGCCACAGAAATCTGTTTAGTCACAGAAGCAGATTGCTTCCACGAAGCACAGAGATGTAATTTGCCACCACTTACGCTACAATATTAAATACTCGCACAAAGCTCCTTCACCTTTTCAGTTCTTTATAGCAGAAAATACTTGGTGTGAAATCCTGCCTAGACAAGGGTCAATGATAAAATCTGCCTCAGCGATGGAGCAGCTTCTGCCCTTCCTATGGTGAGTGGTTTTATTGGGTTTGCATTTAAAGCTGTTCCAATACATCAGTGCTTTCATTGCCGGTCTAGAGCACTTGGACACACGCAAAGCTGCTGCGGAGGGACAGCTAGGATTTAAGGACAGCCCTTGCTGGGATTTGCTTTCCCTTGGAAATGGATGGCTCCGAGGCAGAACACACTCCGAGTGCAGCCGTAAGCCACCATGCCTCACCCCAGGCTCCAGCCCGCTGTAGTTAATCATTAAATAATTCCCCCGGTGATGTTATCTGGTGCTGATAAATGACAGATTTCATTGTTTTGCCTGGAGCAGCTTTAAATTGTGTTAATTTCATCAAAGATTGACACTGGCTTTTATTTCCTTTTGCTCCTGTTGTGTCCTGTAAAGGCACCGCATGCCGCAGACTGCAGATTGCTCATAGAATTGGTACAATGGATTTTTCCTTTTTCCTCATATTTAGAGAAAAATTGTAATCAGAGCCTTGGAAATACCAAGGACTTTTCGATCAATAAACTACTAATGAGAGTGTATTCGAAGAGGAATATGACCACAAATCCAATGGCTTTTAAAACAACCTGAGTGTTGACTGTGTTTGTTTTACATGTGATCTCAGAATGATTTCTAATTTTATACAGCAGTGAATTTATTCCACCTCCAACACACGTTTCTGACACAGGGTTTTCTCCAAAACTGAAGATAAAATACATTATCCATCTTCCTGATGAGCCAAGCTATCATTGGGCTGATTCTTTCTTTTGGCAATGGGAAAAAAGATAGCCCAAGGTAGCCCTATTCTGTTGATGCTGAAGAAAAAGGCAGTTTTACA